TGTTTAATATTTAAAGATTACCTACCTCAGGGCAATAGTTTCAGGGGTTCCTCCAGACTCTATGGCTCCAGAAAGTCTAGAATTGAAGAGAATTTGAATTCTCTTCAGTTGTTCTGTGTTTCCCCGCTTTTGATCAGTATTTTTCTTTGGCATCTTTGATCAAAATGTTCAGTAATGATAGTTGCACACCATCTAGTTCTTCTGGTCTCGTAGCAAAGGAAGCAGTTGTTTCTGGAGGCAATTAGCCACATATTCCATATCTTCCACCTATTCCTTACTCTTCTCTTCTTGCTTTGTTGTCCCAGGGAAATAGAGACCAACTAATGTGACTTGGGTGGTCATTTGTAGACTTTTAAGACCCCAGACACTACATAATGAACTAGGTGGTAGAATAGAAGTACTAAACATATGATTAGGTCAGCTAACTCTATGATCCATTAAGTCATGACCCTACCTTTAAACCAAGGAAATGAATCACATTAGGTGTTGGGTTTGTCATAAGCAGTGACAACAGCTACTCTTTTTCTTTTTTTTTTTAAATTCCTTTATTGTAAATACATCAGGGAACTTCAAAACATTAATGGGAAAATGGAGTTAAAAGATAAAACATGTAAACTTTATTTCTCTACATAAGCTCCATCAAGGTCAAGCCACTTTTATAAGTGATGATATCAGCATAATTATTCACTTTTTACTGGATAATTGAATGTATCATTTATGGTGTTAAGAAGACTTCAGAGGATATTTTTGTTTAATATTTAAAGATTACCTACCTCAGTCCATCCCTAATGAACTGAGGGTCCAGAGAACTTAACCATGTCAATGCAGTCTTTTTAACTGAAGAAAAAAATGAATGCCCTTTCATTAATTTTTTTTTTTTTTTTTTTTTAAGATTAGGGAACAAATTAGAGTTCCTGGGAGCAAAATCAGGGCTATAAGGTGAATGCCTAATGATTTCTCATAAAAACTAACAAAAATTGTCCTTGTTTGAGGAAAGGAATGAGCAGGATCATTGTCATGGTGGGAAGGACTTTCAGGTGAAGCTCTCCCAGACATTTTCTGTTAAAGATTTGGATCATTTTCTCAAAACACTCTCATTATTGGCCCTCCAGAAAATCAGAAAGCAAAATGCCTCAAGAATTACAAAAACTGTTGCCATGACCTTTGCTCTTGACCAGTCTGCTTTGTCTTTGACTGAATCTCCTCTTGGTAACAATTACTTTGATTTTGCTTTGTCTTGAAGATCATACTGGTAAAACCATCTCTTACCTCCTATGACAATTCTTTAAAGAAGTGTTTCAGGATCATGATCCTACTTGTTTAGAATTTCCCTTGAAAGCTCTGCTCTTGTCTGCAGCTGATATGGACACAATAGTTTTGGTACCACTGTGCAAGAAAGTTTGTTCAATTTTTCTTTTTCAGTGTGAATAGCATAAGCTGAAGCAATCGAGAAGTCTATGGTGTTGACCATTGTTTCTGGTGTTAATTGTTGGTACTCTTCAATTAGGGCATGACAAGATTAATTGTTTTCTCACAAATTGATGTGGATGGTCTGCTGCTGTGCTTCATCTTCAACATTGTCGTGTTCTTTCTTGAAATGAGTTATCCATTTGTAAACTGATTTTTTGGGGGCATTGTCTCCATAAACTTTTCATAAACCATCAATGATTTCATCATTTTTCTTTCTAAACTTTAATATAAACTTGATGTAGTTCTTGCTTCAATTTTATCAGAATTAATGTTGCTTTGATAGGGGCTCTTTTTAAGCAGATGCCTTAAACTATCAACCAGTTCTTTCTGATACAGTGACTTTGTATTGCTTCCATCTTTTTTTGAAGCTTCCTGCATCATTCAAAACAGATCCTGTTTAGACATGTTATAACAAGTAAGTACAAGTTTATTTTGGTACAAAAAATCTGAAATCTATGCATAGTGTTTTCATAATCATCATTTTCAATGAACTCTTTGAAAGCCCCTCATATCTATCAATTTGGATGTCTTTTATTTCTTTTTCTTGACTCCTTACTGTGGTCAGAACTTCCAGTATTATGGTGAATAGAAGTGAGCAAAGCAGGTATCCTTATTTTGTTTCTGATATTAAGGGAAATGCTTTCAGTTTTATATCGTTATGATGTTATCTGTGGTCTTTATCATGTTTAGGATATTCTTTTCTATTTCTAGTCTATTGAACGCTTGAATGGCGAGAGTTGGATTTTTCAAACACTTTTCTGCGTCAATTGAACTAGTCATTTGTTTTCCCCCCTTTATTCTAATAACATAGTATATGAGGGGGTTTCAAAAAGTTTGTGGAAAAATGGAATTCAAAAATAAATGAAAATTTCCCATTAACTTTTGAGGTCCCCTCATAGTGATTGATTTTCATATATTGAACCACTCTTATATTCCTGGGATAAATCCCACTTGGTCATACTTGTACATATTTTTGTAGATGTACTGAAATGCTACTTAATTTTCTTGGTTTGCATCTATATTCATGAGATAAACCAGGCTGTAGTTTTCTTTTCTTGTAATGTTTTTGTCTGATTACAGTATCAGGGTAATACTGACCTTACAGATAAGTTAGGGATTGTTCCTTCCTCTTCAAAATTTTGGAAGCCTTTATGAAAGAGTACTGTTAATTCTTCCTTAAATGCTTGAATTTAGTGTTAAGATTTTGTTGTTGTTGGGAAGTTTTTGATAAATGTTTTAATTTTGCTGCTTATTATAGATCTCTTCAGTTCTTCTATTTCTTCTTGTGGCATCATCTAGATTTTCTGATTTGTCGTTATAATCCTTTTATTTTTAAAATGTTGGTTATAATGTTTCTTCTTTCACTTGTGATTTTAGTAATTTGAATCTTCTCTTTTTTCATAATCAATCTGGCTAAAGACTTGACAATTTTGTTGATCTTTTCCAAAGAACCAACTTTTGATTTTATTGATTTTCTCTATTGTTTTTCTGTTCTATATTTTGTTTATCTCTGCTCTAATCTTTATTTTTCCTTCCATCCATCAGTTTTGGGTTTAGGATTAGTTTGCATTACTTTTTCCTATTCCTTGAGGGATATGGTTAGCTACTTGGTTTGAGATACTTCTTCAATATGATGTTGGCATTTATAGCTATTAATTTTCCTCTGAGTACTGATTTCCCATAAGTTTTTGTATTTTGTGCTTTTTTCAATGATCTCAAGGTCCTTTCTACTTTCACTTATGATTTATCTTTGACCCATTGGTTGCTTCAGAGTGTGTTGTTCCAAATATTTGTGAGATTTTCAGTTTTCCTTCTTTTATTGATTTCTGGTTTCATTCCACTGTGTTTGAAAATGATACTTTGAATGATTTTAATTTTTTTTTAATTTAGGAAGATTACTTTCATATCTTAATACATGATCTGTCCTTGAGAATGTTCCATGTGCACTTGAGAAAAATATGCATTGTTGTATAGTGTGTTCTGTATATGACTTCTACATCTAATTGTTTGACAATGTAATTGAAGTGTATTGAATTCTCAAACTATTATTGTAAAACTGCTTCCTCTATCAATTGTTGGGTTTTGCTTTATATACTTTGTTAGGTATGTATATGTTTATAATTGTTATGTCTTCTAGATGTATTTAATCTCTTTTTAATATATGATGTCTATTTATCTCTTATAAGCTATATTGACTTAGAATCTATTTTATCTAATAATATACAGTCATTCCAGCTCTACTTGGGTTACTAGTTTCACAAAATATCTTTTTTCCACTCTTTTAATTATTAATGTCTTTGTATCTAAACTGAATCTCTTATAGGTAACACATAGATGAATAAAGTTTTAACCTATTTTACCAATCTCTGCCTTTTAATATCAATGTGTAATCCATTTGTACTTAAAAGAAATTACTAAAAAAAAACCCACTTATTTCCACCTTTTTTGATATATATTTTCTGTAGTGTTATATGGTTTGTAAAACTTTTTGTTACTCAATTCCTTCATTATTGGCCTTAAAATTTTCAGTTGATTTTTTTATAGTGATTTGCTTCTTTTATTTTCTGAATATTTTAAAATTCTTTTCTTATCAGTTACATGGGAAATAAAATTAACATCTTATTCTTATAACAGTTTAAATAATACCAACTTAATTTCAGTAGCATAGAAACATTCTGCCCTTATACATTTATGTCCCTCCTTCATTATATTTTAATATCATAGATCATATCTATATATATTACGTGTTATTAACACTGATTTTTAATTATCGTTTTATTAATTTGTCATTTAAACAATATAGAAAAAAGAGGACTTAAAAATTCCAAAGCACAACAGTACTGTTTTTAATATTTATCTAAGGAGTTACCTTTACTAGTGTTGTTTATTTCCTCATATGCCTTTGAAATATTTTCTAGTTTCTTTGTATTTCAGCTTTAGCATTTCTTGTAGAAATGGTCTGATAATAATGAAATCCCTTAGCTTTTCTATGCCTGGAAATGGCTTAATCTTCATTTTTGAGGGATGTTGTTGTTAAGTTCTGTCGAGTTGATTCCAACCCCCAGCAGCCCTGTATAGGGTTTCTAAGGAGCAGGTGGTGAGCTTGAACCTCTCACCTTGTGGTTCAAACAACTTTGCAGTCTAGCACATGAACCTACAATGTCACAACAGGACTCCTTTGAGTGATAGTTTATCCAATAAAGACGTCATGATAGGTAGTTTTTTTATCTTCAATATTTTAAATATGTCTTCTTGGCATCATAGTTTCCCATGAGAATCAGCTATTAATCCTGTTGATGAAATTTTTGTACGTAATGAATTGCTTCTCTCTTGATGCTTTCTAAATTGTCTTTTGCTTTTGACAATTTGACTATAATATTTCTCAGTGTGGATCACTCTAAGTTGACCTTACTTGGAGTACATTAAGCTTCTTCGATATGTAGATTGATGTATTTATCAAATTTGGGATAGCTGTCATCATTATATTTTCAAATCCGTTTTCCCCAAGCCTCCTTTTTTATATTTCATAGGTTCCTAAGAGCAAGGCTAAAGAGGCTACCAAAGTGGCTATTGATGTAGGGTACCGTCACATCGACTCAGCTTATTTCTATCAAAATGAAAAGGAGGTTGGAGAAGCCATTCGAGAGAAGATTGCTGACGGTACTGTGAAGAGAGAAGACATATTCTACACCACCAAGGTGCTGTGTGTGGGGGTGATAATAGGTCTTTGTTTGTTTGTTTTAATGCTCTTAGTTTAAATAATTTATTTACTTTCTGATATTGTAGAGGCCTTATAGAAACATAGACAGCAGAGAAGGCTGGATGAAATAGTTCCTCAACTTCTCTGAACATCAAAATGCATTCCTATGGAATACGTGATGATGACATTTGTTATCTTCTTTGACTGTTGTCAGGACTAATGGAATCACTGTGGGTTCATGCTTTTTCCTCCTCACTAGTTCACGTAGGGCACATCCAAGTGAGGTTAGGGTATGATTTGGAAAAGGGAGAGGAAATCTAACTAGCAAATACTTTCTTCAAGTCAGCCACTAAGAAAACTGGAATTTGTAAAAATTTCTTAGGTGGAAAGTAGTGGTTCAGATAAATCTTGGTATCCCTTAAGGATCTGATTTATATAGTGTCACCACACTGTCTTGGTGGCCCTGCCCCATGCAGCAGCAGTCTGCACTCCACTGACTCCATTGTCACCACAGAACCTGGGGTTATTTTGGTGTCACCCTCTCTGGCAGTATCAGGAGACTAAATCCACAACTTGTTATTATAATGTGAACTTTTCAGCAAAATGGATTTTAGGCATTCATTATATAGGAAAGTGGGTTCCATTTCCCTTCCCTGCATTTCTTTGCTCTCCATTCAAAGAATAACTTTTCTAATCCTTTAAACATCTAGGTTGCTTTTCCCAGTCTACCTACATTTCAGTTAAAAGTTTTCTTACATTTTAGTGACTCAAATAAACTTCAATTTCCCATTAAGAGCCTGATTTATAATAAGTAAAATTTCTCCTTACTTCCTATTATTTTCAGACTGCCTGTGTAGTTTATTAGTCATTTTTCAGTCTTTTCTTGGTTAAAGTTTTGGACTGCAAAGTCCACTTGAGCCAGGAAGCCTGAGGTTCAAGTTCACCAGTTGCTCCTTAGAAACCCTATACAAGGTTGTTAAGGGTTGGAGTATGACTTAACAGCACTTAATAACAATATTGGTCCCAAAATATGTTAAAATCTCAAACATGTTTTATTCCTTTTGATCACTGCAGCTTTGGACTACTTTTCTTCGACCAGAAATGGTTAGACCAGCCTTGGAAAGATCACTGAAGAATCTTCAACTGGACTATGTAGATCTCTTCCTTATTCATTTTCCAGTTGGTATGAAGGTAAGCTTTCTGTTTTCCTCATTATGACCAGGATTGTTTCAGTACTGCTATTAGCACCCCTGGAGTCCTGATGTGGTGCTGTGGGTTAATGTACCAGATTGCAAAGCCATTTGAACTGTAGGGTTGGCGGTTCAAGTTCACCAGCCGCTCCTTGAAGACCCTATACAGGGTCAGAACTAACTCAATGGCGCTTAACAACAGCTAGCACCCCTGTTATTCATTCTGGTTAGGTATACTAAGGGAAATGAATTCTCTACACAGTCCCTTACTGATTCCGATGTTTTTTCCCAAAAAATCTTTCTTAGAACACACATATGCATGAACACACACACATGCAGACACACACACACAGACCAATTAATAGTCACTACCACCTGAAAGTTGTGTGACTGAGCTCCTTAAGAAAGATGATTCTTAAATAAAACTCTCCATCCTCTCTTTTTCTATATATATTCCAGGCTGGGGAGGATCTTCTACCAAAGGATGCCAATGGGAAAATTATTTTAGAAATAGTGGACATCTGTGACACTTGGAATGTAAGTACCATTACAGACACCCAAGAGGTGCTGTATGACAAGGTAGAGATCACTGGATGGAGAATCAGAAGAAATTAACTCTGGCTCCATCGATCAACCTCAGTGACTCCATCTGTAAAGTGTGGGAACTGAACTGGATGACCTCTAAGGTCTATTTTTAATCCAACCCTCTGTGGTTTAAGTAGAGATTTCTTGGTCCCATAGATCAGGTTAAAGATGCGAGCTCTAGGAAGGGTTCAGCAGAAGCAAACTTAACAGGAGTTAGATTTCTTCCAGGGGAGATCAATATACTTGTCAAGGGAGTGGAGCACTGATGTCTGATGGCAGAAGGTGAACTGTAGCAAAAGAGTGAAATCTATCCCAGCCCATATATATATATATGTTCTTTATAGGAAAGAGGCAGCAGCAAAACCTTCTATTAGTGAAAAACCTATGTGTTTTGGCTTTTAACTATGTTATCATTTGTTAAAATACTATTATATGCATTAAAGTGAAATAGGTACCATTGGGTAGGGGCATAAAAGAAGGGAACTTGAGATTTTAAAGCACCTTAATGTACATTTCTCGTCATGAATGTGACTGTAATAGCCTCAAGGAGAAAAAGTATATGCACAGCAATAAGATTAATTAGAAAATAAATTATTTAACTGGCAAAATTGTTTGATCCAGAAAACTTGCTATATATGTTTAAACCACGCTTTTCAGGTTTTAAAAAGTTCAATGTCTTATGAAAAAGCCACATTTTGTTAGACTTTATCGAACATTTCCTTCCTCCTCAGGCTTTAGAGAAGTGTAAAGATGCAGGTTTAACCAAATCCATTGGTGTATCCAATTTTAATCATAAACAACTGGAGATGATCCTGAACAAGCCAGGACTCAAATACAAGCCTGTCTGCAACCAGGTGAGCCCTTACACCTACTGAAATATTCTCTACTTCCTGTTCTTCATATCCTTCTTCCTTAATTAATTTCTGACTTGATATCAACTGTGTAGACAATAGTATCTTTTACTGCAATGGAAAATACCAAAGAATGGATTGATATTATATCAATGATTGAAGTTCTGCTGAGACATCCTAATGGAGACGCTGAGTTGACAGATGGCAAAATGGGTCTGAGGTTTGGAAAAGTGGTCTGAACTCAAGGTACAGGTTTTGATGCCATTGCTTTATGGATAGTGATTAAACTCATAGACATAGATCAGCTTTCCTAGGGAGAGTTCAATGAATGAAAAAGAAGAGGACAAGGAAGCCAATGATAAGGAACCAGGCAGAAGAGGCATTGGTAAAACCAAAAAGATGGAGAAAATAAGGATAGTGTGTGTTGGGAAATCCTAAAATAGAATGATTCAAAGATGTAAAGGTTTAATTTAGGTACAGGATTTATCCTGCTGAGGGCCAATCAGAAAAACTGAATAGAATTGTTGGTTGGACTTAGTGATATGGAGGTTATTGAAGACTTAATAGGATTGATGATAGAGTTCAGAGGAAGAGTGGAAAGTGAGGAAGTAAATAAATCACAATTGAAAGAGACCATATTTAAGAATAACACCCAGTACTGGCAATTTTCAAACATAATTTATAGCCAAGTAAAGGTATGCAGCCCTTTTTAAAAGTGATTTGATAATTAATTATATAAGAAGTTACTCAATATTTGTACTATTTTTCTTAGTTATTTCACTTCTCAGAATCTACTCTTAGAAAATAATTTAAAATCTGTTTGAAATTATACATATATACATATATATGAATATTTTAAACACCATTTAAAAAAATACCACATAATTCAAAATTTAAATATTGAACAAGAGTGAAATGATTAGCTTTTTGATGTCTTATCACCTAATTAAGATCCTTACTGAGATATTGTAAAGATTAATAGTAAAAATGTAAAGTCTTTGTTAAGTTGTTATTGTTGTTATGGGCCACTGAGTGAGTTCCGACTCAAAGTGACCTTAGGCACTGCAGAATGAAACATTGCCCAGTCCTGTGTCATTCTTACAATTATTAGGTATGAGTCCATTGTTAATGCTACTGTATTAATCCATTTGTTGGGAGTCTTCCTCTTTCTTGCTAACTCTTCACTTTACCAAGCATGAAGTCCTTCTCTAAGAACTGGTCCCTCCTGACAACATGTCCAAAGTACAAGAAACAAAATTTTGCCATTATCACTTCTAAGGAGCACTCCAACTGCACTTCTTCCAAGACAGTTTTGTTTGCTCTTCTGGCAATATATAGTGTTTTCTATACTCTTCACCAACACCATAATTCAAATACATTGCTTCTACTGTATTTCTTACTTATTGTCCAACTTTCACATGTATATGAGGCCACTGAAAATGCCAAGGCATGGGTCAAGTATGCCTTAGTCCTCAAAGAGACATTTTTGCTCTTTAAGACTTTAAAGAGGTCTTTTGCAGCAGCTTTGTCGATACAATACGTCATTTGACTTCTTGACTGCTGTTTCAATGACTATTGATTGTGGATCCTAGCAAAATGAAGTCAATGACAACTTCAGTCTTTTCTCCATCTATCATAATGTTATTTGTTGGCCCAGTTGTAAGGATTTTCATTTTCTTTACATTGAGATGGAATCCATATTGAAGGCTTTGATCTTCATGAGTATTTAAAGTCCTTTTCATTTTCAGCAAGCAAGATTGTGTCATCTGCATATTACAGGTACTAAAGAGTCTTCCTCCAATCCTAATGCCACATTTTTCCTCATTTAATCCAGTTTCTCAGATTATTTCCTCAGTATACAACATGAGTATGGTGCAAAGAAGCAAGCTTGGCACACACCTTTCCTGATTTTAAAACACTCAGTACCTCTTGTTCTATTCTAACAACTGCCTCTTGTTTTATATATAGCTTCTTGTTGAGCAAAATAAAATCTTCTGAAACATCCATTCTTTGCAATATTATCCATAGTTTGTTACTATCCACATAGTCAATAAAGCACAAGTAAACATCCTTTTGGTGTTCTCTGCATTTAGCCTAGAGTCATCTGATGTCAGCAACGATATCCCTTTATCTGTGTCCTCTTCTGAATCTGACTTGAATTTCTGTCAGCTCCCTGTCAATAGATTGCTGCAACCATTCTTGAATTACCTTCAGCAAAATTTTACTTGCATGTAATATTAATGACCATATGCAGTTGTTTAAAGATTTTTACGTTCTGTTGGGTCCTCTTTCTTTGGAATGGACATAAATATGGATCTTTTCCAATTGGTTGGCCAGGTAACTGTATTCAAAATTTCTCGGCATAGATTAGTGAGCACCTCTATCACTGCATCACTTTGTTGAAACATTTTAATTTGTATTCCATCAATTCCTGGGGCCTTGTTTTTCACTAATCACTGTAGTGTCGTTTGGACTTCTCCCTTCAATACCTTTTGTTTAACTTTTTGTTTTTGTTTTTGTTTTTTTTATTCGGCATTGTACATTTAATGTTTTATAGGTACCAGGTGATCCTCAAAGTACAAGGAGAATGGTTTGTTGTTGTTGTTAAGTGCCGTCGAGTCGGTTCCGACCCATAGCGACCCTGTACAGGGTTTCCGAGGGTGTAAATAGGAGAATGGTAGCGATAGACAAAAAGAATTTGAGTACAAGTCTAAGTATGATAGAATATCTAAAGAGGGAGCTGTCCAGATATTAACCACTCACTTAACAAATGTCGCTACACTAAAATTGTAGTTCTTTTTTGTAAAACACTACATTTAGGGGCTTTCTGGGTAAAGATTGATGTGCACAATCACTTTGGCCGGCTTGACACAGGGGCCAAATTTCATGTGAATCGCTTCTCAGCAGTCGCAGCCTGATTTCAGCTAGGAAAAAGGAAATATGACTTTAATTCTTCAGAAGTAATTCAGGAACTTGACTTTTGTGGAAAAAAGAAGTCTGGCCCAGGTGAATGTGGGGAATCTAGAACATACCAAGAGATCCAAAATGAAGAGAAAAAAGAAGAAAGACTTACTGAAAGGAAGAGGGAATGGAACAAGAAAAAGAGAAAGATGATGACTTCAGAAATTACTTTGTCAGAAGAAGAAACTACAATACAGTGGATGTCATATATGGAAGCAAAGATTGAAGATAAAAAAGTAAAAGAAGAAAATAACTTCAGGAAAGTTGGAACATCTCAGAAAGGAAAAGATCAACTTCTTCCGGAATAAACACAAAATTCATGTCCAAGGAACTGATCTTCCTGACCCAATTGCTACATTTCAGCAACTTGACCAGGAATATAAAATCAATTCTCGACTGTTTCAGAATATCCTACATGCAGGCTTTCAGGTGCCTACAGCAATCCCAATGTAGGCCATTCCAGTTATGCTACATGGTCAAGAACTTCTGGCTTCTGCTCCTACTGGATCTGGAAAGACTCTGGCTTTTAGCATTCCCATTTTAATGCAGCGGAAACAACCCACAGATAAAGGCTTCAGGGCTCTGATTATATCACCAACAAGAGAACTTGCAAATCAGATTCACCGAGAGTTATTAAAAATCTCTGAAGGAACAGGATTCGGGATACACATGATTCACAAAGCAGCAGTGGCAGCCACAAAATTTGGACCTAAATCATCTAAGAAGTTTGATATTCTTGTGACCACTCCAAATCGATTGATCCTCCAGTAATAGACCTAAGAAGTGTTGAGTGGCTCATAGTGAATGAATCAGACAAATTGTTTGAAGATGGAAAGACTGGTTCAGAGACCAGCTGGCTTCCATTTTCCTGGCATGCACATCCCACAAGATCAGGAGAGCTATGTGCAGTGCCACTTTTGCATATGATGTTGAGCAGTGGTACAAACTCAACCTGGACAGTGTCATTACTGTATCCATTGTTGTTGTTGTTGTTGTTAAGTGCCGTTGAGTCATTTCCAACCCATAGCGACCCTGTACAGGGTTTCCGAGGCTGTAAATCTTTATGGGAGGAGAACGCCTCATCTTTCTCCCGCAGAGTTTTGAACTGCTGGCCTTAAGGTTCGCAGCCCGATTCATAACCACTACGCTACCAGAGCTCCTTACTGTATCCATTAGAGCACGGAATTCTGCGGTAGAGACTGTAGAACAAGAATTTCTCTTTGTGGGATCTGAAACTGGGAAACTCGTTAAAAAGGGTTTCAATCCACCTATTCTTGTTTTTGTTCAGTTCATTGAAAGAGCTAAATAACTTTTTTCATGAGCTCATATATGAAGGTATTAGTGTGGATGTCATTCATTCAGAGAGAACACAGCAACAGAGAGATAACACTGCCCACAGCTTCAGAGCAGGAAAAATCTGGGTTCTTATTTGTACAGCCTTGCTGACAAGAGGGATTAATTTTAAAGGTGTAAACTTGGTGATCAACTATGACTTTCCAAGCAGCTCAGTGGAATACATCCACAGGATAAGTTGAAATGTAAGAGCAGGGCATAAAGGAAAAGCTGTTACATTTTTAAGAACCATTATTAAGAAGTGTTGTGAATGTTGCACAGCAAGCTGGATATCCTGTACCAGAATACAGTAAAAATTTCAAAAGACTACTAAGCAAAGCAAAGAAAAAAATGTTATGAAGCCATTGAAAAGAGAGAGCATTAGTACAACTCCAAAATGTTTCTCAGAAAAAGTGAAGGATAAACGGAAAAAGGTCACTGGTCAGAAGAAGAAGAAAGTAGCTCTTGAAGACAGTATTTAAAAAGACACCTTTTAAAAGACTATCCCAGATTCAGTATGGATTCCAGCCTGAATAATTCGACCCTATAGCAAGAGGACAGCCACTTCTCCATCTTTGGAGCGAGCTTGCCTGAGGGAGCCAGCATTCACCGAAGACCCACCTGAAAGAGGGATGTCATCTGCATCTCCATTGAGGCCCCCC